TTTTATTCATATTTATCTAATCGCTTTATTAGACAAGGGTGTGGATGGGTGTGGATGTCGGTGTATGGGTCTTCTCTTCATTCACATCCACACCCACACATCCACACCCATTCACACTCACACCCACCCACACCCACCCCAAAAAACACAGGTCAAATTCAGAGTACATGTTAATGATATTCGACCTATTCTTATATTAAAATCAACGTGATATATTGTTGTTTAGTTATTTGCTAATGATCATTAAATGTTAGTGTTATGTTATGTTTATGGTGGTTCGATGTTTGATTATCTTTGTTGTATCCGCACCAACTTAATTGAACTAACATCGACTCGTTATGCTTGTGAACATATTGATATTTTAATTAGCGCACATTAATTATCAATATAATTATCATTTGCATATGGTTAGCATTAACAAATATTGGTTATTACAAATACAAACAAATTACGCACAGGAAATCTTCTCTTTCAGAAGTGTTTCTGTTTTCAACAAACAAAGTTATTTATGTTTTAGCTTTACACATATTACATATTTTATTAATATACTAGCGATATCTATGTATGCAATCGTGATAGGTTTATTCCTCGGAACGAATGATAAATTATATGGTTTATTTGTTTACCTTATTTATATTATTCTTTTTTTCTCTTCATTTATTTTATATCAATTTCTTTAATCTTCTTTTCTTTATTCATTATAATGTCAGATAAATTTGTTCCATATCATTTGCGTGATATTAACAATCCTCCAGCTCATCTTGATAACAATCAAAAATTGAATTGGATACGTGCTGCAAAAAAAGACGAAGAAAAATTATTAATATAAACAACAATATCCAGCATTTGATATACCAACAGCATTTTATGAAATTATATATGTAAACAAATATACAACAACTGAAACAATCCAAAAATCAATTAATCATGTACGAAATTGTAATGAATTTACATTTTATACTATAGGTGAAAAATCAACCAAACAATTAGCATTAATTCAAATTCAAACAGTACCTCAACAATTACCATTTTTTGCTATATAAGTAGAACTTGCACATTTACCACCAATTCATTCATTAATTCATTTACAAATTAAATAGTTATTTGAATTAATTTTTACATTTAGAAATAACATATATTCTTGGGGACCATTACGTAAGGAAATTTATCCAGCTATTGTTTATCAATGGTTTGAATGGCCAATTAAAACATCAGTGGTTAATCTTCAACTTAAATTTGCTGATTGGTATAGCTGGGCACTATCTTATTGCGAGATGTGTAGCCTGTCAAATCGTCGTAATTTTATTATGAATGATATTAATTCTGAGGGACAAATGAATTTATTATCAAAATGTACTTATCATAAATCAAGTTCTTATCGTCCCAATGAACCATGGACATTACAGCAAGCTTTAATTTATACAATTGGAATGCTTATTGACAAGTCAATTAC